AGGAAGAGGTGGTGCTGACGGGGGAGGAGGAGAAGAGGTGGTGTGGTGGGGACCGGGAGGGAGGGAGGAAGAGGTGGGTGTGGGGAGGGAGTGGAGGAAAGTGGGTGTGGGGAGAGGGAGGGAGGAAGAGGGTGGGGTGTGGGAGGAGGGAGGGAGGAAGTGGTGGTGGTGAGGGGAAGGGAGGAAGAGGTGGTGGTGAGGGGAGGGAGGGAGGGAGGAAGTGGTGTGTGAGGGGAGGGAGCGAGGAAGGAACCTCCCTCCCTCCCCACACCCCACCTCTTCCCCCCTCCTTCCCTCCCTCCCCACCATCAGAGAACACGGAGTCACTGAGATCAATTTGCAACACATTCATTTTATTGTCTTCACCAGGGGCCACCGTGCTGGTGAGATCTCTGAGGTCTGGCGACTGGAACTGAACTTAGTCGCTGCTCAGGGAGATGGGGGAGTCGGTGGCCGCCCCCTCACTCAGGGGCTCCTCCAGCTGGCTCTCCTGGCTCAGGGGGTCGTCCTGGGTCCCCTCGCTCACTGGCTCCTCGGGGGGCAGCTCGTGCTGAGGGAGCTCCTGGCTGGGCTGGTCACTGGGGCCGGGGGCCGCTGGCCCGCTCCCCGCCTCAGGGGCCGCCGCCGCCGCCGCCGCCGCCGCCATCTTGCTCGCGGCCCGTTTCTTCCCGCCTCTCCCTCCACGAGCTGCTTTTCCCTTCTTGGCCGCCCGGGTAGCCTGGAAGGACAACAGGGAGATGCCAGAAGGGCTCTGGTTGAGGGAAGAGGATGGAGGAGGCTGGGAACAGGGACGTTTCCTCAGAGGCGGGCGGGCGGGCCGGGTGGGGGGCTGTGCCAGGGGAGGCCGGGAGAGGATTCTGGTGAGGAAGGAGGCGAGGGGAAGCCGAGGAGGAGCTTGGGTGGGTCCCTCACCTTCTTCTTCGGGCTACTGGGGCTCTGCTGAGAAGAGGACTTCCTCTTTTGGCTCTCCTTGGTCTTGGCCGGGGATCCCGAGGCTCTCGGCTTCGGACTCATCTTCCACAGCTCAACGCCTCCCAACGGTCAACCGCGGGCTGCCTGGGGTCCCCGTATATACCCCTCCCACCGTCTCGGGACAATGAGGCGACCACGTCCCTGAGCTGTGATTGGTCAACAGCCCACTACCCAGCCAATGGGAGCCCTGGGCGGGAAGGGAGGCCTTCGACGTCACAAAGCGCCAGCACGACCTGACTGAGGAAGGTGGCGGGGGAGTGACATCTGAGGAGGAAGGCAGGGTGCTCTGGTTGGAGAAAGGGGGTTTGGGTTAGCACCCGTAAGGATAGTTCCCAAACTGACATGGCAGCCCTCCTAAACTCCCCATGTTCAATTTTGGCAGATCACATGGCACCGGAGGATATTTCTACCACATGGTTCCCCTGGACCCCCCCCCACTCAGTGGTACATTCTATTTCTCCACACCTGCCATCATGACCCAGTTTCTGTATCACCTACCTCAAATCCCTCCCTGCTAACTGGGACGGGTTTGGGGCTATACGAAGATGTCAATCATCCCTCTCTCCTATAAATTCCTCTGCTACACCTTGAGGACCATTCACTTCTTGGA